CCGGCCGTCGAGCATGCAATTCTAGTAGACGTAATCGCATTTCTGCACTTCGTAGAATGTCCTTGATCTTTTGCGCTTTCACAGAGCGCGCATGGTGGATTTGTTTCCCACTGCACGTGATTGAACATTTTACCTGGTGACGCCGTTTCCTCGAGCGAGGCACGTGCAACCCTCCAGCCCTCTTCTTTGGCTGGTGCCTAATCTTGGCTCTTTCAAGCCGCGTAGGTATGGAATGTAGGTACTCGTCCGCGTCCAATATCTCCTGATCGATGGGTACCGGAGCGATATCGCCGGGAGACGGAGAAGCTTTTTCCTCACTACCAGCACTCGCGCCTTCATCTTCGCGAATGTTACCACTCCCTGCATCATGCTCGACGTCTGGTCCTGAGGTGCTCGAGCGCATGCTGTTGTCGCACACTAGCGACACTCCTCTAACAATCAGTGGAGAGGGCGGGTGTGTGATCTCCGCGCTTGCGTTCGTTGGATTTGCGGTCGTAAGTGAAGCTTCATTGCCATCCGGCTCCGTACCGTCGTGTACGGAGGTGCTGGGTGGCGGTGAACGGGATCCACAATCAGTGAAGCTTGTGTTCAGATTCTGATCCGTCTCCAGCAGTTTCCTCAGGTGGACCACGTAGTTGTAGCATAATTGATGCGAATGCATCAGTAACAGCACCGGAGATCGCTGTACAGAAGGAGCTGGACCGAGTAGGAGCGCTGAACTCTCCGGGAACTAGTGTGTACGAGTGTTGTTTCCTCCAGATCGCGTAGGCGGGTTTGAACCGGTCGCCGAACCGGTCAATCAACAGGCGTACCATCAAGTCGCGCGGTAGGAGCTCCTCCATGTCCACGGTGATGGGGTAATCTGCAGCGGCATCCTCGTGGACCCGGAGGACGACTGCAGTGTGATACCCTCGCGGGTCGTCTGAAACGAATGCCATAGAGTAATACTCGATCGTGTCGCCAGCGTACAAGCTGGCAGGATGCAGCTCTAAGGCGCTGATCCCCGGCATGTTCGGCAAGGAGGTGAGGGACGCAGCGCAGTAGTGGTGGAGCGGCGGTCGAAATAAGGAATAATTTCTGTCTGGGCCGGCCCTTCACTTCTCTACATTCGGAACACATCCGAATGTCGCTTTCCAACCAATCCTATACCTCCTTGCAACCTCGAAGGCAACCTCAAATGCCCTGCCTGAGCTGCGTCGCAAGGGTTCGAGCAATGTGGAGGCGAGCAATGTGGAGGCGAGCAAAAAGACGACGATGGCCTGTCCTTTTGCTGCTAGTGTGTTTGTAAATCGGGGATGAGTTTGTGTGGTATTCAGATCGATACGTGTGTCCTTCACGTTTCCTCATTGGAGAGGTGCTTTGTACATTTACGATGTGTTTCCTAAAGGTTGAATGATTTTGTTGTCGCGCTGGCATGCCCGACTACCCATGCAAATCCAGCCTATATATACTTTGTCGTCTAGCGTACACGACTCGCGCACTCCACAATCAAGGATGAGGGAGCGTTCATCACGGCGTTTTGGAAGGACCAAAAACCCAGGAAGCGGTTGATAATTTTGAATTGCTTGTGTATCATAGTCGGGTACCGGCTGAGTATTGAAAAAGCACACGTTCTCAAGGCTGATTCGAAGACGTATCGGATGACATTGACTGTTCGGACTCGATTCCAGGTGGTGGCGCGGTGCTGAACGACGTGTCGTTTAACCCA